TTGGCCGGGAGGGGGTCCGGGTGCCCCCCTGGCCCGGAGCGGGTGTGGGTGCCCCCTTGGCCCGGAGGGGGCTGGAGCCTGCTCCTCGGTGTGAGGTGCCATCCGAGTTGCTCCTGGGAAGCGCCTGCCACTCGGTTGTAGACTCACATTCAAAGCGTTGCCCACCTTTCATCCACAATGAGTGGACCGTTATGAGTTTTGTTAACAAAACCCTGAAACTCAGCTGTCTTTCCATTTCGCTTTGTTTTGAGGTTTAAAAATAAGGAAACCCATGAACAGACCTCCTGTTTCACAGGCACTTTTCCTTCTCCCATCCCACAGAAGAGTGTCAGTTCACTCCTTAGCCCAGTGGTTCTCAACCTTCCTAATGCCGCGACCCTTTAATACAGTTCCTCATGTTGTGGTGACCCCAACCATAACATTATTTTCGTTGCTACTTCATAACTGTAATTTTGCTACTGTTATGAATCGTAATGTAAATATCTGATATGCAGGATGTATTTTCATTGTTACAAATTGAACATAATTAATCACAAAAACAATACGTAATTATATGTGTTTTCCGATGGTCTTAGGCGACCCCTGTGAAAGGGTTGTTCGACCCCCAAAGGGGTCGTGACCCACAGGCTGAGAACCGCTGCCTTAGCCTCTCGATGCATTGGCCTGGGTGCAGAAAGTCCCACACACCACCTGGTGGTGGAGCCGCCTGTGATGATTAAGTCACCAACAACAGGAAGAGCTTTCAACCCCTCACTGCTTTATTGCACTTGGTTAATGAAACCTCTCTAGGGGGAGAGGGGAACACTTCTAGCCCTCTGCTGGGTGTCCTGAATTTAGAAAACTACCCCTCCCAATTATATGTAATCATTTTCTGCTAGCCTCAATACTCTAGCTGTGCCATGAACTCAATGGACATGTTTCATAAATTAAATGAGCCAAACTGTAGCTCCAAGTTTTTGATGAAAATGGCTTTGAAGTACACGTAAAATAAGTCTTTTGGTCAAAAAATATTGTAATGGCAAAGGTGTAATGAAATAATATTTAGATGGCCTCAACCATTTTGAGCGTTCTGGGTCAAACAAGATAACTAAGTACATAAAAGCATTACAAGCATAATTATCATTAGATAAGTCTTGGTAAAGCCTTTGTTGGAAAACTTCCCAGAGGTTGAGATATTTCTTTAATTGTTTTTAAATTCTGAGAGAATCCTATGTATTATATTTATACATTTGAAACTTTAATGAAATGGATAATGGGCAAAGGAAATAAAAATTATAAAACCTCTCTGCTTTATTGCACTTAGTTAAGGAAACCTGGTCTGGGGGTGGGGGGAACACTTGCAAGTTGTATCCTCTCTTGCAAGTCAGATGATTTTCATTTGCCTTGAAAAAAAATTATTGACAGTAGATCAATGTGATTTGGAGCATATAACTTAGAAGTTCAAAGACTTGAGCAACACTGCTCTAACAAAACTGTCTATAATTCTTATTTATATGAACCAGGTTTCTCTGGGATTACATCCATAAAAACAAAAAAATTGGAATAAAATTGATGCTGAGTCCTATCACATTTTATCAGTAAATCATATATATTCATCTACAGATACATGCTCATGAAAAAATCAATACCATTTAGCTCATCTTAACAGAGGCAATTGCGCCTGCCCACCTGGTGTGGCTCAGTGGTTGAGCATTGACCTATGAACCAGGAGGTCATGGTTCAATTCCCAGTCCGTGCACATCTTTGGGTTGTGGGCTCCATTCCCAGTAAAGGGGTGTGCAGGAGGCAGCCAATCAATGATTCTCTCTCATCATTGATGTTTCTCTCTCTCCCTTCCTCTCTGAAATCAATAAAAATGTATGTTTTTTAAAAGAGAGGCAATTCCATGAAAAATATATGTATGATTATTTATAAAATTATATTTAAATTCCTTTTATCGACTTATTCATCACCAATACTTTTAATGGTACATTCCAAAAGAAAGGTTTTTTTGTTTTTTTTAAATATATTTTATTGATTTTTTACAGAGAGGAAGGGAGAGAGACAGAGAGTCAGAAACATCGATGAGAGAGAAACATCGATCAGCTGCCTCCTGCACACTTCCCACTGGAGATGTGCCCGCAACCAAGGCACATGCCCCTGACCGGAATCGAACCCAGGACCTCTCAGTCCGCAGGCCGACGCTCTATCCACTGAGCCAAACCGGTTACAGCAAGAAAGGTTTTTTTAATACACTTAGAGAGCTTTAGTCACAAGAAAAGTTTATTAAATTTTTATTTACATATTTTTGGCTGAGATATATGATATGATGACCAATAAAAAATTATAAAACATATGGAAGTGGAATGGGAATTCAAGTTCAAGGGGTAAAAGGGAAAAATGTAAAAATTTTAAATATTAAAAAACATGTTTATTTTTAAGATGAATGCTAGTGCTTATCAAATTATTAAGGTATTTACATATCACTCGATACACTTAAAAGTGATGTAACAGTTTTATTTCAAAAAGTCAATATTTATAATGAGCCAGAAAATAAATTCTAAACTTTAAAATTATGATGAAGAACTTTATATGTCAACTTTAAAAGCTGGAGTTTCTTGCCCTGACTGGGTAGCTCAGTTGGTTACAGCATCATCCTGATACACCAAGGTTTCGGGTTCAATCCTGGGTCAGGGCACATACAAGAAACAACCAATGAATAAATAAATAAGTGGAACAACAAATCGATGTCTCTCTCTCTCTCTCTCTCTCTCTCTCTCTCTCTCTCCTCCCCCCTTCCTCTCTCTCTAAAGTAATTTAAAAAAAGTCGAAGTTTCTTTAGGGCAGCGATTCTCAACCTGTGGGTCGCGACCCCTTTGGCGGTCAAACGACCCTTTCACAGGGGTCACCTAAGACCATCCTGCATATCAGATATTTACATGACGATTCATAACAGTAGCAACATTACAGTTATGAAGTAGCAATGAAAATAATTTTATGGTTGGGTCACAACATGAGGAACTGTATTTAAAGGGCCAGAAGGTTGAGAACCACTGCTTTAGGGGGTCATGTGAGCAAAAACGTGGAGACTAGTGTTTTAGATGGTCAGAGCTGGGGGTGGCAGCGGCTCCCACCACTGCTGCTGGGAATGGGGCAGTGCACTGCAGCCAACTCATCAACCCCTGGTTGGTGAGTCACCTATTCCCATTCATGCTCGACTTAGAATTATGGAAAATTCAAGCGGGAGGATCCTCAACCTGGTCTATCTCTCAATTTTACTAGGTTTGTGACCTTGGCCATGCTTTTCACATCTCTAAGCTTCATTAATAATAATTCAACACAACATACAGAATGTCACAAAATTCTACACTTATGGGATTGCCAAATAAGTGGTCTGATCAGGGATTTCAACCTTGACCCTTTCAGAGGGGCGGGCCTTGACCTAAATGAGCATGGCAGAGAGGGGCTGAGCTTCAGACCCTCTTGCTGGAAGAATGCTGTCAGTAGAGGTTTCAGAAAATGGGGTCCGGGGAGAGACCAAGATGGCGGCATAGGTAAACACTGGAGATTGCTGCCGCAAACAACCACTTCAAAAATGCAACTAAAAGACGGAACGGACATCACCCAGAACCACAGGAAGGCGGGCTGAGGAGAGACTCTTCAACTAGAAGGAAAGAGAACAGCATACCGAGGCTCAGAGGAGGCGCAGTGTGGAAAATACTCAGGTGCGGAGGTGCGCGCGCAAAGCGGGCTGGTGGCTGAGAGCGCGGTTGTCGTTTTCGGTCAGGGGGGAGTCTCAGACTCTGAGCTCCAGATACGGGCGAATCGCTGGGGACTCGGACCCAAACGGGAGAAGCGGGAGTGTCTGGCATCAGTTGGAAGGCAGCTTTCCCTCCGAGGTTTGCAGCGGTTCCGGGGGTTCTGAGAAGCAGAGCCTCTGGGAACGGGACTGAGGGCACCATAACCGCTCCCTCCGCCCGCCCGCCCTGTTGAGCCCGCCCCGCCCAAGCCCTGCGCAGAGCCATTTGCCAGATCGCCTCAGGCAAAGGCTAGATTAGCACCTCCCCAGAGGACAGAAGTTTTCCCACTGCAGCAGACACAGCTGATTCACACAGCCAGTCGGCCTGGTGGTCAAATCCCTCTAGTATTAACTACAACAATCAAGGCTCAACTAGAACAAGACTGCGCACAAAGACCACTAGGGGGTGCACCAAGAAAGCATAAAAAATGCGGAGACAAAAAAACATGACAGAAATGGAGGATATAGAGCTAAAAAACGCAATTTTGAGGGCTTGCAATAAACTTCTGGAGAGCCTCACGAAAACTAATGAGACCCTCGATGCTATGATAAAGAAACAACTAGAAATTAAGCATACACGGTCTGAAATAAAGAATATTACACCCAATAGCAGACCAGAGGAGCGCAAGAATCAAGCCAAAGATTTGAAATGCGAAGAAGCAAAAAACACCCAACCGGAAAAGCAAAATGAAAAAAGAATCCGAAAATACGAAGATAGTGTAAGGAGCCTCTGGGACAGCTTCAAGCGTACCAACATCAGAATAATAGGGGTGCCAGAAGATGAGAGACAGCAAGATATTGAAAACCTATTTGAAGAAATAATGGCAGAAAACTTCCCCCACCTGGTGAAAGAAATGGACTTACAGGTCCAAGAAGCGCAGAGAACCCCAAACAAAAGGAATCCAAAGAGGACCACACCAAGACACATCATAATTAAAATGCCAAGAGCAAAAGACAAAGAGAGAATCTTAAAAGCAGCAAGAGAAAGAGACTCAATTACCTACAAGGGAATACCCATACGACTGTCAGCTGATTTCTCAACAGAAACTTTGCAGGCCAGAAGGGAATGGCAAGAA